CAACCTTATTTTATGCACTTGAAAAGCACCAAAAGAAAGCTGAAGAAAACAGGGCACCAAACTTTGAACATATTACTACATTTACAATGGGAGTATTTGTTTTCCTCAACTGAAATCAAATTTCTGCACTTTCCCTTGTTATTAGCGGATGCTGCACTACCTTAGTGCTGAATTTCATTATTGTAATTTACTGAACCTTGGAATGCTGACCCACACAGCCATAGCTAATACTTTTCATACGCATGCATACTCATATCTCTGCATCATTTCAACTGTTCTGTACAAGTCCAGTTATTATTCTTGTATCCCACAATTAGTGTTTTGCATGCTCCTTTTGGATCTTGGCAAATTATTTAGTAAAGCTATAATTAATCCAATGATACACAATCTCATTTACTGTGTGTGTGTGAACAATTAAAATTACAGTGCCACCAGGCAAAAAGAGTTATAATTCTATATATGTGTTGGAGAGGGGGTTTTGGGGTTTTTTTTGGGGGGGGGGGACACGGAGGGGGAATGAGATTGTGGTATTTGGAAGAGTTTCCACAGAATTCTAGACAGTCCCTCAAGTTGCGCATATCCGCAATTTGTGTCAGTTCACCACCACTCTTTAGGGAACTGTAATTTTGAGATGAAATCATTTGGATAGACAAATGTCAGTGGTTGCACACACCCAATGCTAATGACTTTTTAAGCCTTACAAAAACGTGAACTCATGCAAGAGAGAGTGTTTCAGCTGTTACATTTAAAACAGGTCATTCCATTAGCAGTCACACTCCTGAGAACATTCCTGTAGGACAGGTGTGGCAGCTCAAGGACTTTTCATGCTGAGCTATTTAAATATATAACTTTCCACTGTTTGATAGCCATTCCTTCATCCAGATCAAAAGATGATAGTAGTTATAACACTTAACATTATATAATGCATTATAGTTTCAAAGCGCTATGTTAATATCAGTCTGTCCTCAATTCCCATGTGTGAGGTACAACAGTATTTTAAGTTTTATCTCCACCATACAGATATGCAAGGCAGGCACAAAGATTACATGATTTTCATGGCAACAGAGCAAGTCAGCAAGAGAGCTGGAATCAGAACTCCCACTTTCCTGGCTATCAATCCAATGCTTAATTCAGAGAAGGTGGTTATTCTCTCTCTCTCAAAAATACTCTCTATACCAGTGGTGGGCAACCTGCAGCCCGTCAGGGTAATATGTTGGCAGGCCGCCAGACAGTTTGTTTACATTTGCACAGCCGCCCGCAGCTCCCAGTGGTTGCAGTTTGCCGTTCCGGGCATAGTGACGGCCGAGGCAATGGTTCGGGGAGCAGTGTCCGCTGCATCAGACGCTGCCTGGAGTGTTGCCCTGGCCGTAGTCATGCCCTCCTCCATGATCGCCCGGAACTCCTTCCTGGAAGCCTCAGGAACGGAGCCCTTGAACTTGGCCATGACTTGCCACATGTTAAAGTCATAGCATCCCAGGAGGGCCTGGTGGTTGGCCACCCCTCAGCTGGAGACTGGAGGATGAATAAATCTTATGCCCAAACAAGTCTAGTCTCTTGGAGTCTTTATTCTTAGGGGTAGCCCTGGGTTGACCTTGTCGTTCCCTGTGGTTAACCGTCTCATGGCCTTTGGATGGCACAAAGTACTTTTGTTCAGCCCTCTTGGAGATGGGTGGCAGGGAGGAAGGATTTTCCCCACAAGGCTTTAGTAATCTTAAAGGCTCCATCATGAAGGGGCAGAGCCACCCTGGCCGGTGCTGTGGAGACGAGGACATTGAAAAGAGAGTCCGAGGGCTCCTCTAACTCCTCCGCTTGAAGGCCCAGGTTGGCAGCGACCCTCTTCAGTAGTTCCTGGTGCACTTTAGTGTCATCCAGAGGAACCGGGGGCATTATAGCCTCGTCAGGTGACGACGAGGAAGATGCCAGTGCCATAGGATCCTCCACAACCATTGGTGGCCCAGTAGCTTGGTCCCCTACTCCCTCTTGGACCTGCGGGGTCCTCTCATCCAAGGCTTCTTGCACTGGAAGAGGGCGGGAGAGAGAGGCAACTGGTCTCATCGAGGCTCCGGACACTAAGCGGGTGGCCTGGGAGGGCTGGGTGAACCCCCACAGGTTCCATGGGTACCACGGCACCAGCCACTGGGCCTGAGGCCACAGGGCTTGTTTCAGTGCCGACAATGTAGCTGGTACCACTGGTACCGGAGCTTGTCCCGCCATCAGGACATCCCTCCCTCCGAACCAGGGCAGGATCCTGAGTGGTCGCTCCCAGGTGACCAGGACAGAGCGGAAGGGAGGTTCTGTCCCGACAGGTGCCAGTCACTCCGCCTGGTGTCCGATCTGGAACGAGGTCTTCAGGACCGACGGCGCTCGATGGATCCGCGATGGCCTAGAGCCGGCGATCTACATCTCGCGCTTGATGAACAGTACCGGGATGAAGAGCGGGACCGGGAATTGGAACAGGCCCAGTGCTGGGAAGGGTCTGCACACAGTGATGCCCTCCTAGGGGATCGGTGATGGTCTGAGGAATGGTAGCATCAATCCCTCGACAGGTCCCTGGAGCAGTACCGCGGTCTCGGAGATACTGAGTGCCGGGACCAGTATTCCTGCCAGCGGGCGCATGCCCCCAGAGGTCTGCGCCCAGTTGCCGGAGAGCTGAGCCTCGAGCCTCTCGGCCTGCCCAAGGTCCGAGGATGAATGGGACTGTGCTGCATATTTGCCTTTCATGGTCAGATGCGTGGCGGCTACAGCAGGGCGAGCGCTGGTGGGACATTCCCCGTGATGGGGAACGGTGTCGCTTAGGTGGGGACCATAGCGGTCCAAACGCGGGTTTACCCCGTGACTGGGGAACTGTGGGAGCCGGTGTGGGCGGCACCGGGATGGACATAATCTCCTGCGCCACCTGTAGGGCCTCTGGCATGCACGGCACTCGGAGCTGATGGAGGCCTCTGCCACTATCCGGGGTCGCTGGCGGGGAGTGGCCTGGGACCTTGCTCACACCTTGTCTTATCTTTTCCCTTGTGGGAGGTTGGAGACTGACCTCACACCATCTTCTTGGGCTTCTTGGCCAGAGCCACAGATGGGGACCAGTGCCGGCCAGTGGACGGACCCAGTGGGGCACTATGTACTGAGGTCACGGTGCTCGGTGCTGAGTTGAAGCTTTACTCCGGTGTCGGGGTGAGGGCCGACTCCATAAGGAGCGCATTTAAATGAATGTCATGCTCCTTCTTAGTCCTTGGCTTGAAGGACTTGCAAATCTTGCACTTTTCACTAACGTGCCCTTTGCCCAAGCAACGCAGACAGCTGCTGTGTGGATCACTAACGGGCATGGGCCTCTTGAAGCGATCGCTGGACTTAAAGCCTGGGGACCGGGGCATGCCCCGTCCTGAGGCAAAGTCCCGTTTGGGACCTATGAAGTCTCTAACTATAGCTAAGGGATTTACTAACACTAACAGAAAACTATAGACACTATAATACAAGGATTAACAAATCAGTACGAACAAGAACGCAACAGTTCTAGCCCCGTCACTGGCAGCAAAAATGAACTGGGGGTGGGGGGAGCCGGTGGTGCCCTATATACTGCGACATGTGTGCGCCACTCCAGGGGGGTGCCAGAGCTGGTCCCCTATGGATACTACTGAGGGGAAAACTTCCGGCATTGGTGCATGTGGCGAGCACACACACCTAAGTTGAATGGACATGAGCAAGCACTCGAAGAAGAACCTTTAGTAATTCAGCAAGAGATTTGTGATGAAATAAATGACAAAAACATCATTAGGATGGCAAGAGGATTTATGTTTGGATATATTTGTATAGGTTTTCCTCACTTTGAAAACCCTTCCCGTAGACAAGCATGAACAAAACACTAAGCTAGGAGCTATTCCTACAGGTGTAATGGTCAGCCACTGTTTGCAATGTCATGAAACTAGGCAGCAAAATAAAAAGATGAAAGGACAAACCTCTGTGAACTGACCATCCCTTTAGGGTTGCTACTAACTTCAATTCTTATAGGACAGTCCAGAATTGCATCTCTCTCTCCCAGAAGCCTAAGCTGCAACATTATTACTTGATTTCATGATGCCTTGCCAGGACACAATAGCATCATCTACAATGCAATGCGTCAGCAAATGAAAAATGCAAACGTAGTAGGCAGCAAGTCTAGGCCTAGTTGTCTGTATTTTATGCTGATGCTTGGTATCAGGAAATTGCAACTGCCACCTTAGAGAGTTAAAGCAAAAGTAATATATTCCAATTATACCAATCGAAATCCAGGAATTTAAAGTTACATACATTTTTTCCTGGTTTTCCTCTTGCATAAGTTCTGATTTAAAGGGAAAGTATGTTTAAAAAAACAAAAACAAAAGCAACTACTTGGAAGTTTCTTCACTCACCCAACATTTAGAGCTTTCACATTAAACCTGTGGAATGAATAAGTCATTTCAATAGGAGTAGACTATGTTAACCTACAGCTGATTAAAAAGCCTCAAACAAAATGCATATCCACATATATTCAAACTCCAGATATTTCAGGGACTTTCCAACCATCTGGAAATTTAATTGAGGTGTGGATCTGAGATTTAGGTGTTTTTAGGGGTTTTTTTTTATTGTATTTTTCATGTAAGAGTCTTTGTTACTTTCTCACCCTAAATATAATTTAATCCAGGGGGATAATCAAGAACATCTCTCTAGGATGAAACTTTGCAAACTACAAGTGCAATTGCTATTTTGTATGTCCTAATCTTTTATTTAATATTTACTTTACTTTCCACCCATCAGGAACCTGTAATACTGGTACAGGAAACAGACTGGCTTTTGATCCATTATGAATGTATTGCTTTTGCCACAGCGTTGTAACAGAAGGATGGTTTAAAGTGTACATGTAGCTTGGTCCTACGCCACTCATGCTGATTCCTAACCATAGCTGCTATATTGAGGGCCTTGTGACAGACAGCAATAATTTATACGCCATATTCTTGCTTCAGTACAACTGTCAAGTTTTCACTTACGGAAGTATTTCAGCGTCTCTTCTATTTGCTCAGTTGTTAAGTCGATACTGGCATCAGGAGAAATGAGAGGCGTGTGAAGCCAGTCGTCGTGGTCATAACCATAGATTGTATCTGCTCTCAGCTTGTAATGGGGCAGCTGTTCTTCCAGCAGACTGATGATTTCAACTTCAGGAAGATCAGTACTATTGCACACATCTGAAAGGAAGAAAAGAAACATATAGCCCATGTTAATTACTTCAAATAACTGAGCTCTTACGTTTTAACATGAGCCAGGCAAGCATGTCAGTTTACTTTAATACTGGCAAGAGTTTCCTAAAAAGAACAGTGAGCAATACACATTGTTTTGGAATGCATGACTGAGTGAGGTTGGTAACAGGAGAAACAAGAGGCGTGTAAGCACAGGGTTGGCGACTCATAGGATCATAGAACCATAGAATTAGAAGGGACTGCAAGGGTCATCTAGTCTAGCCCTCTGCCAAGATGCAGAATTTGTTGTGTCTAAACCACTTGAGACAGATGGCTATCCAGCCTCTTCTTGAAAACCTCCAGTGAAGGAGCTTCCACGACTTCCCTAGGCAGTCTGTCCCATTGTTCTATTGTTGTTATAGTTAGGAAGATTTTCCTGAGATTTAATCTAAATCTGCTATGCTGTAGTTTGAACCCATTGCCTACCCTCTGTGGCAAGAGAGAACAATTTTTCTCTATCTTTTTTATGGCAGCCTTTCAAGTATTTGAAGATTGCTATCATGTCCCCCCTTAATCTCCTCTTTTCCAAACTAAACATATCTAGTTCCTTCAGCCTTTGCTCACATGGCTTGCATTCCATTCCTTTGATCATTTTTGTCACTCGCCTCTGGATCTTTTCCAGTTTCTCTACATCCTTTCTCTGCAGCAGTGACCAAAACTGGACGCAGTACTCCAGCTGAGGCCTAACTAGCGCTGAGTAGAGCAGTACTATCACCTCCTGTGATTTGTGTGCTATGTCTCTGTTACTGCAACCCAAACTGCATTTCCTTATTTATTTTTTTTGGCAACAGTGTTGCATTGACAACTCACGTTGAGGTTGTGATCCACCACTACTCCCAGATCCTTGTCAGCAATGCTGCTGCGAAGTCAGTTATCCCCCAATCGGTATTTGTGTATTTGTTTTTTTCCTCCCCAAGTTTAGGGACTTACATTTGTCTTTGTTGAATTTCATGTTGTTGTCTATAGCCCAGTTTTCCAATTGATCAAGATCCACACATTTCAATTGTAAATTGAAATGGTAAATTACTGACAAAATGTCCTGCTTCATAATCAGAAACAAGGCAGAGCACTAAATAGCATTTTCAGATTGGTGGGGCAGAATTCTATAGCTAACCTTAGCTGAAGCAAAAATGTGAAAATGGGAAGTTGGAACACAAAGCCTTCTTCTGAGTGGGGATTACCAAAATCTGTTTTACCACTTGCCTTTCCTGCACACTGTTTAATGAACTGCTACCATGCTGTGTACATATGAAATTTATGGCCCCTGAATTCCATCTTTAACCAATGCCAAAGCTCTCAGAATTTGGCATTGGTAGGGCACTGACTCACTTCACAATTTACTGTAAATAAAGCAACCCTGTTAGGCAGAAGTGACCTCATCACCATGATGCAACCCACCAAGCTAGTGATGGACAGCTTTTCACTGGAATATATCTCATCGGGGAAGAAAGATATAAGAGAGACATTTCATTATTTTCCAGAGAACGTTTTATTTCTTCACTGTTCTGTTTTTCCCCTAATCCCCAAGGTTACATTTTCAAAAAATGCCTCTGATTTTAACCATAAGGCTGAAGCTGGCAAGGACGTGCTACCAAAGGGTGGAAGATGTGAAGACGAGTGGTTGTCAAACAATCTGAATTACCTTGCTATCCATAAGCTTAAGTAAAACCAGGCTACTGATAGGACATGCTGCTTACCCACTTTAGTTCACATAAATATGTCATTCCAGAAACAGTGCCAAGCTCTATTGCTCGCACAGAGAATATTGCACATATAAATGCACTACACCCATTTAGAGATATGCCCATTATGAATCAGTTTGTTTCAGAGAAAGGGTTTGTATGGTTTGATTCATTTAGACAATATGTGTTCCCTTGCAAACAAGAGACAAATTACTGTATACGTTAAGCTAAACTTTAGAGAGGACGGGAAGGTCAAACTCAAGACATAAATCTTTGAGTGACTCTTCCACATTTCTAGTGTTTAACAAGAGCCAACATATTTACTGTTCACAATAGGCCAAAAAGGCAATGCATAGAGACTAGCTCATTATGCTTATGTGTCAAACAGAAATTAGCTCCTCACAAAATTTTGCAACCACTATGCAGGATGGTATCAAACCACCATGAAACTCTGTAGACTGGCAATCCTCCATTCTACATTGGACAATCCATTCAGCACTGCATTTGAGCATGGAGTCTTTTACCAGCTCTCACTGTAAAGAAGGAGAGGGGGGAGAGACACACTGGAGCACTGGGCCTGGTGCAAGATCTGAGACCTGAACTATAGTCAGCAAAGTCAGGCCATGCTGTGAACTAAAGTCAGGCCATGTATTAAAGCAGATGCTTACAAGTTCTCTGTCCGATATGGTCACTAGGTCCAAAGTTTGTTGAGAGGAGTTAGAACATGGAACATACACTGGAGCAGTCCAGTGAATTTACTGTTACCTGTTATTTTTCATCACCAGATGTTCCACTTTGCATTGACCAAGTTAAGTAAATAATTAAGATAGAAAAACAGCCCCCAATTCTGCCATGAGATCCATATAGGTGGACTTGTACCCATGCACAGCCCTGCTGATTTTAATGAGGGTCTTTGCAAGTGCAAAGGGCAGCTCACGTACATCAAATTGCAAAATTAGGGCCTCAGCTCCTTCCAGTCCTGCTGGAAGACTAAGTTAGGTGGAGAAACAAAATTTCTCTGAAGGTTTGAAATCACTCTGGTAAATGAGGATATTTCTCTCTTGCTTGGCTGCCTCTTTCAATTATTGGCAAAAACGTGAGGCTCTCTTTTACATATTGGCAGCTATAACTATTTGATTGTAGGAGGATCCCATGAGGAACTTCTAAAAATACCTGCTAGTCTACATTAAACTCACCTTTTGCAACCCTGTTATTATGGTTTTTATACTAGCCTCAATAGGAGGTGATTTACTGTAGGCTTAATAATAATTTAGATTCTTTAATCTCTCCCTCTGATAAGAACAGGTGCTGTAGCTGTAGAATTATGCAAAACATTTGCATACAACCAGTGGAAAAGTAACAAAAGTACTCAAAATCTTAGGGTCCTAGATTTTGTTACAAATGGGAAAATTATCACATTTGTGAAAAGTTAATACTTTTTTAGTTCCTTTTTCTAATTAAAAAAAAAAAGGGAATGTATCAAGTGAAAATGGACCCACTTTTTTGCTGGAAGGAACCATTTTATCAGCAAATGTGATTTTGCAGCAAAAAAAGATTCAAGTTGTATGTTTCTGATGTGGCATAGCCATTTTGTCAAATTAAATAGAAAAATGAAAACCTGATTATGGGAAAAAATGTTTTATAGTAATCAGTGATCGATTATGTGACCCAGTATTATCACATGCAAAAAACACCAACGTACATGTTTTGTGACAAAGTTCCTCCTCTATCTTGGTGGGTCCTGCGCTTATTGGCGGATTTTCTTGCCTCAGAGATTCACCATGTGGGTTGGGGAACAGCCCAGAGACCTTCCCCTCTGGAAGAACCCACAGTCCAGGTCAATTGGGAGGTTTGGGGGGAACCCGGGCCCACCCTCTACTCCGGGTTCCAGCCCAGGGCCCTGTGGACTGCAGCTGTCTATAGTGCCTCCTGTAACAGCTGCATGACAGCTAAAACTCCCTGGGCTACTTCCCCATGGCCTCCTCCAAACACCTTCCTTATTCTCACCACAGGACCTTCCTCCTGGTGTCTGATAACACTTGTGCTCCTCAGTCCTCCAGCAGCACAGTCTCAGCTACTTGCGCCTCTTGCTCCCAGCTCCTCACACTCCCACCACAAACTGAAGTGAGCGCCTTTTTAAAACCCAGGTGCCCTGATTAGCCTGCCTTAATTGATTCTAGCAGCTTCTTCTTAATTGGCTCCAGGTGTCCTAATTAGCCTGCCTGCCTTAACTGGTTCTAGCAGGTTCCTGATTACTCTAGTGCAGCCCCTGCTCTGGTCACTCAGGGAACAGAAAACTACTCATCCAGTGACCAGTATATTTGCCCTCTACCAGACTCCTGTACCCCACTGGTCTGGGTCTGTCACAGTTTATAGAGCTATGAATACTGAGCTGCTTTACACTATATCACTGGGATATTTCTCACCCAACACTGTTGGATCAACAAGAGTAAAAATTCTAGCAGTTTACAAAGTATGCATGTTCCCAAAATTTTTACACCATTTAAACCACACTGATGGTCCTAGTACTCCATCTATTTCTTTATTTTTCACCAAATATCTACTATTTTTCTTTTCTGATGGGCCAAAGGCCTTATGTATAATGTATACACATCCAATTTCATTTAAGGTCTCTTTCTCCAAAAGATTAAGATTATTCCTACTGCAGAAGTCCCCACAACTCAACTTAAAGAAAAACAGGAAACTTTAGCATATAACATTTACGATTACAAAAATAATTCTCTAGAAGCACATCACAAATACTCATTAACAAAAATACTTCTCTCTTCTTTACCCCGATCACTTCAAATAACTTTTAGTTATGAGATCAGATTGCTGTATTATGGACTCACCAAGATATCTTCTGGGAATCAAAACTCTCCATTGTAATTTTCCTGTTATCCTAAATTGTCACTTTTTCTTTAGCTTTATGTAGATTAAACATCTTACTGTAATAATGACTTTATTCAATAGAACATTACCGTAAACCGTGTTCAAGAAAATAAAAGTTGGACCATATATTATGAAGACTGTCTTGGTACATCCTATAAAACTTTCTGGGATCCTTATAGTGATTACAAATGTGTGATTCTCTGCTGTAACTTGACCTCAAAAAGGAAAGTAAACTTTAAAGACAGCATAACCCAGATTTATTTAGTGAGAGAATATTCTTGTTTGCCAAACAATGAATTCATTGTACCTATTCCATGTGTGGCTGATTATCCAACCATGTCTACACTAGCAAGCTTACAGCTGTACCGATGTAGC